ATTTTAGTAAGTGGGTGAGTAAAATGTTTAAAAAATACATACGTGTATCAACGATGGAATACTTCTTGCAGAAAAATGTAAAATGTCTTTAAATCTCATGAAAAGAGAATTTTAAAACTACCCTTTACGTATTTATGACGAATCTAATCGACAGATCCAAAATATTGTATTGTTAATTTTTATTCCAGTGGTATTCAAAGAAATCAAATCTCGTATTATAACCGAATAGATAAATGATAAGATTTCCCTTTTCATTTTTTTGTCAATATTTTTTTTTAATAAAAAATATTAGATGGAGTGGAAATGGCAAGCAAATGTTTTGGAAATTAGGTACGTATTTGATCTATAGAAATATTTAATACCACCCTGTAATTTTTTTTATTAGCCCAATAAGTACTAAAAATCAGGAAGTACGATGATTTTGGAGCCGAAACGGCTCACTTTTGACTAGGGTCCCTATGCAAAAGTTTTTCATCACAATGTCCCCTCTAAAATCCTGAAGTTTGGCACAACCATTTTGGAACACCCTGTATATAAAATTACTTAATTACGTTTTCTAACGGCGAACGATTAAGTACTTAAATGAATTAATTTCATTTGGAAGTATAATAATTTATCAGTAATCAGTATATTGCTGTCCTTGTGATGTTTACGAGTAGTATCATTTATCTTCTTATTTTAATTACCCATCGTATTTTATTCAGATCAATATTTATTACAAGAATAAATATTAAGGAAACCTCAACATGTGGTTACAGTTCTCAGATATAATATTCAAGGTTAGGAAATTATAAGATATACTTACCTTACCTAGATATATCTAACGAAATATTAGTTATTATTAGCTTTCTGTACCGCCCGCCAGTTAAAATGTCATGCGCAAGTAAGGAAAGCAAATTACAAATCATAGAAAAACATATCAAGAGTTATCCTGACTTTCCCAAGAAAGGTGTATTATTTAGGTATGTATGTAGGTACTTATGTTCAGTTACTAATTTACTTACTTAGATTAAGTATTCTAATTCATTATTTCCGGTAACAAATTCATTCATTCGTTAATTCAGGGACGTATTCGCCGTTTTACAAAACCCCGAGGTTTTCCAATTGTTAAGTGATGTTTTGGTAGAAACTGCAAAAGAAATAAATCCACCTGTCGAAACTGTGGCTGCGTTGGATTCGCGGGGATTTTTGTTTGGTCCCTTAATATCGTTAGCATTGAAAATCCCTTTTGTTCCCATCAGAAAGAAGGGCAAACTTCCAGGAGAGGTTATGTCATATTCTTACATCAAAGAATATGGTCAGGTAAGCGTTATTTTAGCGTTATATACACTAAAAAAATAATGAAATAGACTTTACGATGGAATTTTACACAAATATAAATTTCACTATTTTGTTCACATATTGACATTGTCATAAATATTTTTTGACATGGGACAGGTTATTTAATAATAATAAAAATGTAAGGAATGAACTCTGGAGTTCGTAGTAATTTATCTATGGTAGTAATTCCTTAGAAAACGTAAACGTAGTAAATAGTAAACGATAATAGAAAAAAAAACTATACCTAATCTCATACCTTTTATTAATGGAATAAATATTTTGACCTTGAAAATCCATCAAATCATATTTCTCAACAAATAGAAATAGCCGCTTTAGGGACTTATCCGCCTCTCTCTCACTCTTACTTTTTAAATTTCTACATACACTGGAATGAAGAGTTCATTCTATAATTGTTTCAACCCAAATTCAAACCAAATATCCCTAAATATTAGAAAACAATAATAATAATATATTATGTTTAGCAGCAAAATAAATCAGTTACTTTTTTATCATTTCAAAACTAATTTCATATTGCAATTATGTTTTAGTGCTTAAAAACAAAAAAAAATTAACAAGGTTCATTTACAAAATTAAAATACATTTTCATTATCTTCAGTTATAAATCATCCACACCTATCATAAAATATTTTCTATTTCATGTTTTTTTCGTAGTAGAGAACTTAAGTTTGTTTCTATCGATACAGGATGCCACGATTATACATACAATGTGGATTAGCCGAATGGCATAAATCAGTATCTGAATTATTGTGCATATTTATAAAAAATACCGAGAAACGTCGATTTTGGACTCTGAAATGACAACTTGCAATGTAAAAATTTTATCCTTAAATTCAACACCTTTCGAGTAGCAGTTGCAACCCCTTTTTTTTCTTTTTAATTGGAAGTAGGGGCACGTGATACTGCATTTGAAAGGTATTTTCATTGTCTATTAAAAAATTGTATGATTTTCATATTTATTACAAAAGTTTGCAGTAAAAAAATAAATTCGTCTGCTTGATGAGAAAAATTAAATTCAACGTAATGAGTTCCTTGAACATCTTGGCAGCTTCCTGATCGTAAATAAAAATTTCTTCTAACATTTTCCAACATCTGAGGCATACCGATCTAACTGCAACCGTTATATTTCTCCTCAACCTGCTATATATAATGTGGCTTAGTTTTGTATACTATACTTTAGACATATCCCCATAGAAAGAAATCTAAGGGTGTAAGATCAGGAAAACATGCTGGCCATCCTAGCGAGCCTCGCTTCCATGTCCACCGATTTGGAAATGTTAAGTCGAAGCATTGGCGGGTATTGGTTCGGTAATGTGTTGGTGCTACATCTTGCTGGAACCATACCACACCAGCTGCAACTTGTGGATTTGCTTGAGTAGAATATAAGTTTGTCTAAGTGGACACAATATTAGTTTGGAGCAGAATTATCGCAATTCAAACTGCCATTGATGAAAAGGGGACCAATAACATGATTTCTAATTTTCTCCTCCAGTGAGAATTTTTATTTTCAATAAAACCGACAATGCCAGGCTATGAAAAATTTTGATAAGTTTTTATGTCTCCTTTTTAGTCGAAAATGAACTCTGAAATTGTTTTTGCTAGCCTGCAAGAACAAAACGCTGTAAGTTTTTGTTTATCACAACAAATTTCGTCAAGCAGATCGTTAATTTTTGTAATAAATATTAAAACCATAGCATAGAGAATGTAATAATACCTTTCAAATGAGGTATCGCAAGTCTCTACTTCCCATTAAAAAATTTAGGTTTTGCAACCGCGACTCAAAGGGAATTGAATTTAGGAATGAAATATTTACGTTGCAGGATGTCATTGCAGAACTATTCCACACAGTGTAATAATGTGCATCCGCAAAATACTTGTCTTATATTTTCTGAAATATGTATTCATAGTAGGATCGTATTCAATGCAAAGTAGAGAAAAAAATTGTCGGTTTTTTATCTAAGGAAAATCGTGTCATCATTTTTAGGAAGCATAAGATGAATCATTTCAAATTTAAAATGAAATTGAATGTAAAATCTGAAATACCGCTTCATATCGCACGGTGTTTGGTAGTAACTGGAGTCGTCCAGGTGCATCGAGTGTACGAAATGGTCGGTTATACGTCAAATACTAACCTGATGAGCTTGGTCGTAAATCAGAGTCCGCCTCCAAAAAGCAAGTAAACAACAGTGGCGCATACAGAGGTGAAATGTAGTACATATGTGGAATTAGAAAACAAATTGGATTTATAATAAATTACATTTAAAATAAATAGTTTGTGAGAATAAAGGGATTTTTGTAAGAACAGGGTGACAGACGTGAACTTATCCCTTCATAATGCATAAAATTATTCAATTTATAAACCCCTGAAAACCGTACTGCACTGGATCCCTTGACAGGGAGTGATTTATTACTTTGCATCCAATAAGATCCTACTATAGATATGTACAAAACAGTTTCCTCCAATGAACTCCAATCCCAACTTTTTCCTAGGACACACTAGAAATTCAAGTGGGTAGTATACAGAAAGGGAAGAGAGTTCTAATCGTAGACGATCTTCTAGCTACTGGGGGCAGCCTAAAGGGAGCAATTGATCTCGTCACGAAAATTGGTGGAGAGGTAGTTGCATCCCTTATTGTAATAGAATTGAAAGGACTAAGTGGGCGAGATGGTATCACATCAGATATCATTTCTTTAATTAAATATTGATGTTATATTTTTAACTGTAAGATTTTTTGAAATATTATACCGTCTTTTATAAAAGTATATAGTTATTTTTATTATCAGTGTTATAAGGATTATTTTATAGTTCCTAGTATAGTAATAGTAGGTATATCCTCTAATCGACACAGTCAATGATGAAGACGAAAATAAGATTCATGGTGATTTTCACCATGGAAGACCATGGAATATGGTTAGCACACGTTGAAGATGATTAAAAAATATGGGGATTAGGAATTATTGATGGTGATAGGAACGATGGTTGAAAAGGGTTTGTAGCTGCAAAGTGTAACGTTTGCAATATCCAATTTTTATTTTATTACAAACAATTACAATTTATATCTACATCCGGTATACTAATTTATCTAAACAAACTGGAATGTTGTTAATATAGTTAATTTATTTCATCTGATTGGTGAACACTGGATGCCCAGTAACAAAGTGTGTAAGCAGCCCACGAAGCTCATTCCGTTATCGGAATTCATAGTGTAGAAGTTGTACAAAACACAAAATAAAATCTCAAACAAAATTATATATGCGCAAAGCAAAAAAGTAATAAATACTAAAACAATAAATAAATAAATTGTCTTTTTTGTAAATAATTGTGTTTTATAGAGGTGACATCCATTTTTGCTATCTCTTTCTCTCTCCCAATTGTACCATAGTTTACACTACTCGATCCTCTTAACTTTTTATATTTAGTTTGCACTCTCACGTTTGCACATTTCACCAGCCAGATGAAATTGCCGTAGGTATACAGGATGATTCACAGATGGTGAACAAAAATGAAACCTCATGTATGTCGGAGGTGTGGTGCAATTGTCTTCCACCACGGCACTTAGGCCTTATTAGGCCCCTTGTACACCCTCCTTCATTACTCGAGTACTTTTCTTCAAACCATTTATCGGGGACCACACGCGTGCGGCAAATGTTGGGCGACCCAGGTTTCTTGGTAGGCTGCCACAGCCACGTCCCCGAGCCTGCCTTAGGTCACCCATCCAAATTCCAGCCCACGTCCGTGATGCTTGACTCGGCAGATCGAAATCCGCCGGCCAAGACACCCGGCTAGGCGGTCCCCAAATGAAACCTCATATTCTTTGATAATTAGGGGTCTTTTCTATAAAGTTTTTATCTAGGACGTTAAAAAGATACAGGGTGTTAAAATAAAAAAAAATAATTTAATTTTTTTTAAATAATTTAAAAACTAGTAGGTAAGTGAAATCATTTAAAATTGGGCACATGTATTTATGTAAATATAATCCAAACAAATATAATACAAGAACAATCATATTTTCGGATTTATTTTTCAATTTTCTACAAAACTTAAAAAAAAATCCTAGATAAAAAGTTTTTAGGAAAGACCACTTAAAATTCACCAAAGAATAGGAGGTTTCATTTTTGGTCACCATTTATGAATCACCCTGTTGATTTACTGCCACATCATTTTCACGGGTACCAGTAGAGTAAAAATATTACAATGATATGCACTACATATTTTATATATACAAGGTGACCCATTAAGAATGGAAATACTCGCGTACGAAAGTTGTTTATGGACCGATTTGAACCGGTTGTTTTTTAAAGATAGATCTCCTAAAGCTCTATCTTGATGCAAAATTTGAAAACGAAATTTTGATTTTCAAGGCCTACTAAGAATTTTTTTAAGTGAAAAATAGCAAAATTTTGTTAGCGATTTTTTTATAAAAAATCTGACTACACCACTGAATTTAGGAATCCCTCAACTGCATCGTACCAATTTTTGCGAAAAAAGTTTACCCCTAAAAAAGTTATGACAATATCGGCATCACCAGTGTTTGCCGTTGTCGGTGAACCTATTCTTTTATAAAAACCGAATAGAACCCAAAGGGAAACAAAATTAAATAACAAACACTGGTTTAATAATTATTAATAAGAATCATGAAAACCGGTATACACAAAATAAACAACAAGTTCGTCAAATTATTATTATTTCATGGTTATTATGCCAAAACTTACAAATATTACCTTCTTAGACAAAAATAATTACATTTATAATTTTTTTATTCAAAAAGCCACTGGATTTTACAACCATAATCCAATTCTTTGTGAAGAATTTTCTGAAAAAAATATTATGATATTCCAGAAAATAACGTTGCTTAAAAATAATATGAACAAAATTTGGTAGGTTGTGAAAAATAGAAGTTTAGGCAACAAATGTCAAACTTCACAAGTACAGACGATCAACAGAGAAGACATATTCACGAGCAGGAAATTTTAAATTATTTTACAAATAATCCTCAGGATTGCTAGTTTAGATTTAAATTTACCTAAAGAAAGTATCTGATGCTACCTAAAAAAAAAAATAACATAACACCCTATAAACCCAAGTTTCTTCACACTCTGGAACCAGGCGATAATGAGAAACGAATGGAGTTTTGTCTCTGGGCACAGGGACAATATTTCAATTACCGATTTTTTCTTTAAATATCTTATTCAGCGATGAGGCCACATTCACGACGAATAGAATTGTATCATCACAGAACTCGCGCTGTTGGGTTTCAGAAAATCCAGAGTGGATAATTAATTGCCGATAACAATATAGTCAGAAAGTTAACGTTTGGCGTGGGATACTTAACGAGAGTAATTGGTCCGTTCTTCTTTGAAGGGAATATGAATGGCAAACAATTTGTACATTTCCTTCAGAACGAATTTTTTAATGCAGCCCATAATCTTCCATTACAAGAGAGAGTAAATCTACATTTTCAGTTGGTTGGGCGTCCAATACACAATGCAAGACAAGTCAGGGAGTGGCTTAACGAGAATTTCCCCAATCATTGAATAGGTCCAAACAGTCCATTGGCCACCCCGATCTCCGGACCTTGCCCCACTTGATTTTTTTCTGTGAGGCTTTATTAAGTCCAAAGTTTATAAGACACGGCCAAATAACCGGGAGGTATTGTGCACTAGAATAAGGGAAGCGTGTGAGGAGATTAAAGCGCATCAATTACGAAATGTAAAAAATATAAAAAAATGTTATGAAAAATGGATATAATTAAACGGAGGATTAGTGGAAGCCACAAATATTTAAATTTAATGACGTGATTACTGTAAATCAATTTGACAGACTTCTTTTTCATTTTAAAAAATGTAATTTTTTAATCATTACTTTTTTTTAGTGTTTGTTATTTAATTTTGTTTCCCTTTGGGTTCTATTCGGTTTATATAAAAGAATAGGTTCACCGACAACGGCAAACACTGGTGATGCTATATGTATATTGCTATATTGCTGTAACTTTTTTAGAGGCAAAGTTTTTTCGCAAAAATTCGTACAAATGCATTTGAGGGGTTCCTACATCCAGTGGTGTAGTCAGATTTTTTATAAAAAAAATCGCTAAAAAAATTTTGCTATTTTTCACTTAAAAAAAAAATCAGAGGCCTTGAAAATCAAAATTTCGTCTTCAAATTTGGCATCAAGATAGAGCTTTTGGAGATCTATTTAAAAAAAAAAAACCGGTTAAAATAGGTCCATCAACAGCTTTTGTACGCGAGTGTTTCCATTCTTAATGGGTCACCCTATATATCTTTCTATTTTTAATCCATTATAAAAATATATTTTCTTTATTAAATTATGTTTCTATAAAAAATGTAATACTTTCAAAACACAACAAATTCGAACAGAAATCACAGATTATAAAGTTACTTGGCACCGCTAGGTGTATTCAAAACGTTTTTATTTAGCTGCTCTGAGAGACAGAGCCTATTTTTAAGTATTTCATTTACAATATACAGGATGCCCCATTCATGTTTCANCCACTTGATTTTTTTCTGTGAGGCTTTATTAAGTCCAAAGTTTATAAGACACGGCCAAATAACTGGGAGGTATTGTGCACTAGAATAAGGGAAGCTTGTGAGGAGATTAAAGCGCATCAATTACTAAATGTTGTAAAAAAAAAAATTTTTATGAAAAATGTATAGAATTAAACGAAGGATTAGGGAAGCCACAAATATTTAAATTTAATGACGTGATTACTGTAAATCAATTTGACAGACTTCTTTTTCATTTTTAAAAATGTAATTTTTTAATCATTACTTTTTTTTATCAATTGTTGTTTATATTAGAGTAATTGTTGTTTATTTTGTGTAAACTGGTTTTTATGATTCTTATTAATAATTATTAAACCAGTGTTTGTTATTTAATTTTGTTTCCCTTTGGGTTCTATTCGGTTTATATAAAAGAATAGGTTCACCGACAACGGCAAACATTGGTGATGCTATATATTGCTAATTGCTATAACTTTTTTAGAGGCAAAGTTTTTTCGCAAAAATTCGTACAAATGCATTTGAGGGATTCCTACATCCAGTGGTGTAGTCAGATTTTTTATAAAAAAAATCGCTAACAAAATTTTGCTATTTTTCACTTAAAAAAAAATTCGTAGGCCTTGAAAATCAAAATTTCGTCTTCAAATTTGGCATCAAGATAGAGTTTTTGGAGATCTATCTTTAAAAAAAAAACCGGTTCAAATAGGTCCATGAACAGCTTTTGTACGCGAGTGTTTCCATTCTTAATGGGTCACCCTATATATCTTTCTATTTTTAATCCATTATAAAAATATATTTTCTTTATTAAATTATGTTTCTATAAAAAATGTAATACTTTCAAAACACAACAAATTCGAACAGAAATCACAGATTATAAAGTTACTTGGCACCGCTAGGTGTATTCAAAACGTTTTTATTTAGCTGCTCTGAGAGACAGAGCCTATTTTTAAGTATTTCATTTACAATATACAGGGTGCCCCATTCATGTTTTAAAAAAACTTATTTCCAACAGCAGTGACGGTTGCAGATAGTTTCGACGGGTATAATTAAAGAAAAAATATGTAGAAAGTAAAAATTTCAACGTCCCAATGGTTTTGCAATGCCCCAAAAAAGGGTAAAGAATCGATAAAATGTACATTTTCCAGAAAATTGATGTAAAACTATGTGCTCATAAAAAAACGGCAGAAGTATGTCGATTAATGCGAAAAAGTATATTTCTTTGGATTCAGTATAAATCGACAAAATTTTTAATTGTCGCAACATACCAAAACAACTTTACTAATTTTTGGCATGATGTATAATCAGTACCATTTTAAGGAATTAGCGCAACATGCATTTGGTGTATGGAGAATATAGATGTAATTCTTTAGCATCAGCCATTTGAGGGAGTTACAGATTCTAAACATGTGCATGCTTTTAGGGCCTATCTGGTAAAAACTATTTGAGCTTCATTTGTTTTTTTCTTATCAGGTTAACGGCCTGTACGCATGTAAATCGGGACAGTCTGTGTGTTTTAAATGTATCCAAAGAGCTTTTCCTTAATTTGACCACACTGACACTTTAAGCAATTGTTTAAAGGAATGGAACAATGATGGTAGATGTTTTGAAACACCCTGTATAATTATAAAAATTAATTAATTGAACTTCATTCTTCTTTGTTGTTACGAATCTTTTTATGATTTTTTTGGCTTGAAAATTAATTTATAAGTTTAAATGTGCCAGAATAAAAGTGAAAATACAAGCAGACAATATGCTCCTGTATCGTACAAATAACTTTACTTAATCGAGACAGAATTTTCTTAAATTCTGAAAGGAAAATATGACACATGAATATAAAAAAGTATAAGCTAGGATGTTTCACTAAATCTAACTGTTTTCTGATAACCGTCAGATGACGACTTATCTTCTTTGTGATCTGACAGCCTTGATTCCTTCCGAGACTCACGTGAAGACTTCCTAAATCTCTTGCTTTTACGTAGTGTATTCAGTAATTTAGATACACCTTCCTCTAGGTCTTTAGTCTCCTTTTGGAGTAATTGCAGCTGTAAATTTAAAAATAAGTTTTAAATAATTGTTATTTTTTAATTAATAATAGTAATTACTAATTAGTTATTAATAGGTTAATCAAGTTTCACTTACCCTTGAATCGACATTTGCTTTTCTAGAAGAGTCAGAATCAAGTTCTAACTGTTTCTCAACATTCTTTATTAAGTTATCCACAGCAACAATGTTTGTGGCCAGGTTTAACTGCTTCACTTTATCTGGTGACATCAATGATTGTTTGACCTAGGAAAATAAAATGCTAAAACTTTTTTTATAGACAAAACGAAATTATACATTTTTAATATATGTAAAGTACTAACTTCACACATCCTGTACAGTTCATAAATTCTAACTTTTCAAACTAATGGAAAATGTTAAAATCGTTTTTATTTTAATTTATCAGGCACATTTCTGATCATTTTGTATAAAATAGGTATTAAATATGATAACATAGTTTGTTGAAGATTATGCATTAGAACTTTTCTATTGTAACTGTATAGGACGACCAAAACCAAACTCTCCGATTTACATAGATAAGCAACAGTGTAATGACAATACTATGGGAGCTGCAGCACTTACAACCAGGAATATTGAATATCAGAAGACACCTACGAACAAGGAAAAAAGAATATCTGGCAACAACATATCTTCCTCTACAGTGTGGGCCATTAGTGTGAGAAAGTAAAATAACGCCCTTGTCATTCATAATATAGAAAAAAAGTTTATATAAAATTTGTACAGAATCAAAAAACCTAAAGGACAAAATTAATTTGAAACACACAGGGTGATGAATAAAAGTGGGACACCCCAAATATTATATTTTTTAAATGGAACACCCTGTATATTTTTAAACATATGGACTTCTGAGAAAATTCTACAGGATGTCCCGAAATTCAAGCAACAAAATTTGGTCATAGGTTCTTTAGACAAATGTAGGGAACCTGTATTTTCTCTTTTTGCCAACTGGCCCCCTCTTTCGCAGTTACACCCCCCTGAAATCTGCCCCTAAGAAGTCCGTTTTATATCTCAAAACCATATTGTACGAGGATCACTAAACTTGGTAGTGCTATGCTTTTTGGCGAGAAACCCCCTTAAGACACTTTTTCGTGGGCCCCCTTGTCTTTGGAATCGGAAAAATCTGGTCGCAAATTTGATTTTTTTTTTAATTATTAGTTAGCTAGAAGTCATTGAATTTAGAAACTTTTTTGTCTCTTGATATTTGTTTCGTAAAACGCAATGTTTTTGAGGAAAATGGCGAATCACGATATGCATTCGAGCACATTTTGACAATTTTCTTGAAAACATTGCGTTTTACAAAAAAGTATAAAGAGACAAAAAGTTTCTAAATTTAATGGCTTTCTAGTGGACTGATAATTTTTAAGAAATTTAAATATGCGACCAAGTTCTTTTGGCTCCAAAGACAAGGGGGCCCACGAAAAATTGTTTTAAGGCCAAAAAACGTAGCACCATCAGATTCCACGTGTCATAAAACCCCTGTGTACCAAACTTAGTGATTTTCGAACAGGGTTCTGATATAAAAAAATGATTATTCTTAGGGGCGGACTTCAGGGGGCTGTAACTCCGAAAGAGGGGGCCACTTGGCAAAAATAAAAATACGAGTCCCTTAAATTTGTCTTAAGAGTCTGTGACTTAATTTTGTTGCATGAATTTCGGGACACCCTGTATATATGGCAATATAAATAGTTTAACATTTTAGTGCAAGGTGCCAAGTTATGTAGAAAATTCTTTGAATTTTTTAAAAAACATGACCTCGAAGAAATTGTATTAACTTTCAACTACTAACACTTGGAATAAAAATATTTTACAGAGTTATAGGCAAATGTTAGGCAAATACTATATTAGCTAATATCAATATTTTATACAGTACATTTTTTATAATACGATCATTTTAAGTAAGTTCAAACTTAATTTTCTAAAATTTTTCAAATGGAACACCCTGTATTTTATTGTTTTATTTTATTCACATATCAGTCCACTTCAACTTTTATTAAGTATTAAGACATTGCAACATTTCTGCAAAAACCTAATTTTTATTATTTTCAGTCACACAAAATGGCTTTGGAAAAAACTATCACATTGTGTCAACTTCATAATTTATCATTCCATTTTGAGTTAATTTTATTAGTTAATATTCATTTGTGGTATTCTATAAAATAATAAAAATTTAGTTTTTTCAGAAATGTTGCTAACTAACAATTATAGATATAGAACACGCTTAAAAAAAGTTGAAGTAGACTGATATGTGATTAAAACAGAACAATAAAATACAGGGTGTTCCATTTGAAAAATTTTAGAAAATCAAGTTTGAACTTTCTAGAAATAATAGTGTTATAAAAAAATGTCCGGTATAAAATATCGATATTAGCTAATAGGAGCCTTTGTCTAACATTTGCCTATAACTCTGTATGTCTGTGTATTTTGTTCCAAGTATTAGTAGTTTCCAAAATTTGAAGAATTTTCTACATAACTTGACAACCTCACACAAAAATGATAAACTGTTTATATTGCCATATATAAAATTTTCTCGAAAATCCATGTTTAAAAATATACAGGGTGTTTCATTTTAAAAATGTAATATTTGGCGTGTTCTGTTTTTTACTCATCACCCTGTATGTATCAAATTAATTTTGTAATTTGATTCTGTATAACTTTTATATAAACTTTTTTTCTGTATTATGAGTTATGAGACAAGGGAGTTATTTTACTTTCTCACACTAATGGCCCACCCTGTATATACAAGGATGCACTAACAATATAGGCCACATATTAAAGAAACATAGCCATCTACAACACCTTTGGCGTAAGAGTTAGGGGGGGAAATACCCTTACGATATCTCAATATCTCCACCACTGGCAGTCCAATGAATGCGAGAAGGGTGCGAAAAAGTAGCTATTAAAAGTGATAATGTGTGTACAAAAGCGCAATCCTGTAGTTCAAACGGTTGCTATTGGCAAAAAACTAGATAACAAAAAATTAAAAGTTTTGACACCGTGTATCTCAAAAACGAAGAGGAAAACTATGTTTCTTTTCGCAAGAGGAATTTACAGTTTTCCGTTGCGACACTTTTTTAGGAACACCCTGTAGATAAAGATATTAAATATTCAAACTTGCCTTATCAATTTCATGATCCAGTTTTCTCTTATACTTCTTCAACTGCTGCATATCAGTACTGCTAATACTGATGTCATCCAAGTCCACAAATTCTTGAATTCGGAATTTGTACTTCAGGAGCTTTGCATATCTTTTAATGTAATCATCCTGCAAATTTGTCCAACACTGACCACAAGGAGGGAGTAGCTTTTGATCACCTCTAGGCAACGTTTTACGGGTTTCTGAAAATATTTTCTGTTCTGCATCTCCTAGCATTTTTTTCAGGTAGTGCAGTTCATCACGTTTTGTTTTTACTTTTTCCACCTCCGATTTTAGTTTGTCCAAACAAATTTGTTTCATTTCTGTAAACAGCTAGATGTATAATAAAATAACAGGATCAGGCAATTGATTTCTTAAAAAATACTCAGGTACTGATTTTAATTTTCAATTGCTAATTTTATATAATTATAATACGCGACTTATGTGAAATAACAATGTTATAGGCATTTTTTTATGCACACTTATTGCTCGTGCTGGTAATTTTTCTTTATCAATACTATCGAATATTACGTATTTTTCATTCTATGCACTAGATTACACTTGGTAGCAATACAGCAGTCAAAGATTTCTACATTCGTAAAAGAAACAATTGGGTATAAAAAAAAACAAATTAATAGCCTGAACGTTTTGTCAGCCATTTTCTGTTTCGACAGTACATCTACAGTTTAAAATTAGTGGCTTCTTAACTGTAACCTTGCAGATCTAAAAGTCTTTTGCGCCATATTAGTCTAGTGTAGATTAAAATTGCAATAATCAAGTGTTATTGTCACTAGTGATTATTGTTTTATTAAATTCAATTGGGTTACATGGGGCAGATGGAAGGAAGGCAGTTGTATCCGTTTCACATGCAACTGCCCTGCTACAATTTTATTCCTAAATGGAACTATTTTTATTCACAGCAGAATTTTTAATTTCCAAATTTATAGAAAATCTCCTTAATGTGCGTTGTACTAATTTTCATAATTTACTCTTCATTAATATTGAGCATTATTTGAATTTTTTATAAGGACTTTTTGTGTTTCTAAATCACCTGAGTGGACTACTTTAATGATTCTTTAATTCAATGAAAGTTAATTAAATTTAGTATAGAATTATAGCTTTGTAAGTTTGTCAAATTCCCAACGGTTTTCGAGATATACGTTATTGAAAATCGATAATTTTCGAAAAAATCATTTTTACCCTCTTTTTTTCAAACATTTGCTTCTAATCCCTTCCATGATCGTATCTCAGAAAAATTGTCAAAAATATAGTTGTAGAGCATTGAATTTCTTCAATTTGATATACACTTTTGCCTCGACAAAAATGCAAAGCAACAATTCTATAGGAAATTTAATTAACTTTCATTTTTATTTGGATCATTTTTTTCTACAGTACACCGTTTTCGAGATATAAGTGAAAGAACAACAAATGGGTCATTTCCACCCCCTCGTCCCGCCGTTAGCTCACCGCCCAAGAACGGGGACTTTTAGTATGTTTACCTCCTAACTATTCCTAACAAAGTCTTGAAGTCAAAAATTCTCGCATATTCCATGCACTCTATAATGCATTCATTGACTGGGCTATAAGTCATGGTTGAATACAACAAAATAAATAATCCATGATAAATAATTTTTAAGTTTGCAGACATTAGATAACTGATAACAACTAATATAAAAACACCGATAATTTTAAATAAAAAAAGACATATCTGAGCACTTTCTAGAAACAGAATTTAATTCCTGGTTTTCTTAATTTTATCAACAAAATCAAATAAAAATAATACTTTCACTAAAATAAAATTGAGACCGAGACGAACATTTAGAAAAGAGAAAGGTCAAACCTAGGAATGAAATGAAGAGAGAAACATTCTCGAAAAGAATGAAATATACAAATTTTGACCGTGGTTCATTTCATGCGTCAGTTCATCTAATACAAGTTGCTACATGTAAAGAAATTTAAATATATGGTTGTTATGTCTGTTAAAACAAAAAATGTATTAAATATTTCCCCGATTTACACTGTGATGGAGGAGAAAGAAAATGTCATGTTTGTGAACAAAAATTATAGATATAGCATTTTAGTGCACATTCTAAAGAGTGTAAAAGTAAAATGTGTTGCACTTTTCGCTGACAAAAGTATGTACAGTGTGATTCACTATATTTTGACCCCCTCCCCATTATCTTTTTTGTTTTTAGAGTTATAAAATATTGTAAAATACAAAAGTTGCACAATTTTTTATGAATTTTTCGAAAATGATAGTAGAAAAACAAATGAAGTGAAAACAAAATGACAGCAGATGTTAACTTTGTTAATTTAAATGAACATCCTGTATATTTTTACATATTTGGATAGAACGTTCTCTGTCGAGCATAGTCATATAGGGTTTGTTGGGTCCATCTCTAACAATAAACGAGGTACTATTGAAAAACGAAGAGAAGGTTTTTTATTAAGAAAATAAGATATCTCGTGATTGTTAGACCTCCTTCAGGCATTTTTGCCTTTTTTCCCATTACGTAAGGATTTACAGATTTAGTCGTAATATATTTTGACATATCGGATATTGTTACAGTCCAAAATGTGTATAGGTTTTCTATTTTCTTTTTTTAATAGTAACATGCTTATTGTTGAAGATAGACCCCATAAACCATATATGACTATGCTCGACAGGGAACGTGCTATCCAAATATGTAAATATATACAGGCTGTTCCATTTAAATTGACAAAGTTATTACCTTGTTTGGACTTCATTTGTTTTCCAAATATCACTTTCAAAAAATTCTTAAAAAATCGTGCAACTTTTGTATTTTACATTTTTTTGTAGTTCTTAAAATAAAAAAGTTAAAGGGGGGGGGTCAAAATATAGTGAATCACCCTGTACCTGAAGAACACTACAGGAACCATTTTAATGAGACAGATATATTGTATGGTAAGGTCAACCTTTCAGTTTCAATTAAATTTTGTGTTTATTTAAGTGGTTTCAATTTTAACTGGGAAACTTTTCCAGTATGATAGAACAAACTATTTCAAGTAAAAAGTGTGTTGAAATTGGAAAAAGAAGAAGAATTATCACCATTTCTAAAATATCTCTAAGGATATTTGACATAAGATGATGAAAGTTGTACCACTGGCTTATTCAATTAGAAGTAAAAATTCACCATTTTTAATTGTATTCATAGAACGAGCCATTTTAGAGGTTCGATTTTTCTCTATATTAAAATGAGCTTACCGCAGTTAAGTAAATGGAAAGCATCTCAAACTATTTTTTCTAGAAAAAAAAAACGTCTACAGGCATTTTTTCTTACAAAAGCACTTATTTAAACTACTTAAAATTGTATTTTTAAAGAAAAATTTATCATATACTATTTTTGTAGAACGTATAGTTTGAGTTATTTTCCATTCACTTAACTGCATGTTACTCAAGAAGAAAAAAAAGAACTCGAAAAATGCTTGTTTTTCAAACAAATTGGATTTCTTAGTAAAAACCAGTTCTCATAGTATGAAATTCCAGACTGCATTTCCATTGTAGAGCAATTTTTACTTGTTTTCATTGTGCAAACATCGTGATGCTTTTCTGCATGAATTGAATTCTTAACTTGTCGCCCTGCCTTGTTATATCACTCACTTTCAATATTAATGCATTAATAGCGTTGCTTCTGCAGTAAATTTGTTAACAGTGTGTAATATCAGACAATTTGGATTAATGCTCATGTTTCGGATTGGCAGTGCACAGACAAATCTCCAACCAGCATGATCGTCAACAAACGGTTTGATGAGAGTTTGAAAATCCTGTACAAACATCAAATTTCTAGTCAGAGTTAGAGATTTATTCTTAGAAACAGTAAATTTATAATGCACATGCCCCATATGATCCGTTATTATGAAATGTTAGACAAAGAGAGATTATTCCTGCCAAAATTTTTTTAAACACTATTTCATGGAATTTCGCATTGGCAATCCAGAATTCCGGACTAACCTTTACACTACACACACGAATATCAAGGATTATTTTTTAAAATTTAATTTGTGATATGTTACCTTCCTTCCTTTTTTTCTCTTCTATCATTTTCTCACATTCACAAGCCTCCCATTTCTTTTTAACTTGTTGCATTAAATTTGCCTCATAAGTTTCCATATTCACAAGTTGATTATTTACACGCTTCATTTGCTCCATTTCTACGTCCACTGTCGTTTTGGGGTACTCTACAAACAATGGATAGTTTCCAATTTCGATACTGTTGAACTTTTCAAGATACTGCCGAGGATGCATCTTCTCACTCGTATGATTTAAAATATGGTACGTTTTTTGTAAGAACTTTCTTGTGCTGTTCGGGTTCTGGTTATGGAAGAAAAATTCAACGTTCGAGGTGGTTTTCAAGGAAAGTAAAATGTCTCTGTGCAAAATATTATACGAGACAACAGCACATAGTAAAAAAGATGGCTCGCTGGTTAAGACATGGTCCCAAAACTGTAACCACTCCCTGGCTGTTAAAACTTCCGAGAAGGCAGTTTCTAGTAGTGGCCACGCGTATAAATTCGAAGTAATGTTCTGACACGAAAAATGATGGAGTAATTCTGGATCGTGTTCCATAAAAACGTTTTCAATCATAGCTAATATGTTTACTGGTGCTAGAGGATAGTATTCAAACCAATGCTGGGACCAGTTCACTAAAGGAATTAAAAAAAAATGTTTGAACAATAGCTAAAACAGAATTTGTATTAAACATGTACTATATATCGACCTTTGTATTATTTACATTTCCTTTGAACTTCTCTGTTTGAGGTTATTAAAAAAAATGTATTTTAGATATAATTTGTCTACCAGAAAGTATTCAGATATCTAATCTATTAATTCCAATTTAGAAAAGAGGCCACTACAAAAATAGTCCTTAAAATGCTGTAATAAGTAAAGCTGTCAGAGAGCCACAATTTAGTGGCATGTCAAACGGGTCAACCGAGACATATGTGACCCGCTGCCTCAGAATGCATGTTCACATCACGTTAGTATAGTGGTAGTATATACTATACTTTGTCTTCGTGCGGATGTTGCGTAATTAATCCTATGCGGTGGTGTTTATGATGGTGGATTGTAAACAATTTAAATTGTTGCTTTTTAATAAATGCGTACACCTATGTCTCGCGGCTCAGTTCTGACAGCCCTAGTAATAAATTATATATGAATATAACTTATCATGCTTGAGTTTTATTGTCAATTTTCACCCAAAGTATTATACAACAAGGCCTACTTAAGAACCAACATACTCTTCTAATATTTTTTATGAGACATGCGAATACGAGTAGAAATAATTTTTTTGTTACATATTCGCCATGTAAATATATTCGCTGAACCTATTATGATTGTCCAACAGGGTTGCCAGAGAAATTTTATTTATCATCGCCAACAGAGGATAATAGCCAAAAAGTCACAATCTGTTTAAGTTTAAAATAAATTAAAATTGTTAAAATATTAGGTTAGATGGCATCAGGTATCACATAATTTTTTTTAGGCTAAAATATTCTGAAAGAATATTTAAAAATCAAATAATTCGGTAAATGTCATTACCATATAATGGAAAACAAATAACACCATAGATATAAATAACACAGGCCAACAAGGAAAAAATTCCAGAGATCAGACACTACGTTTCCGAAGGCATTTGGCGCGCTGAATCCGAATCTGGCCTCAGAATTGATCCATCACCCTAGGTTTCCGAGATATTCTAACCTAAAAGTGCAAAAAACACGTATTTTTGCTATTTTCAAGGTTATGTAACTTGGCGAAAAAA